GTTACATTACTGAAGATTAACTTATTTTTTTTATTGTGTTGGAGGAAATTATTTACAGCTCCACATGCCAGTTTTGACCAAAAACATCCCCATGTATGTAAAAATGCTGGAAATAAAGATTTATTTGATACCTGAGCATCAGATGAACACAAGCCTGCACCCAAACCACATACTGGTTAAATGAGAGGCAGTCATAACTAAGCTAGAGTACTATGACTAATGGATATTTTAAGGGTCATTCAAAGGGGGACAGATATTCATACTAATCAGCTGTAATCACAGGAAAGCAAAGCCTGAAGTTTTTTGTGAAATTCGGATACATAAGGACTTGATTGAAAGTGCATGAAAAAGCTGCCAAGATTTAAAGGAAAAAAGAGAGAGAAAAAAACAAAAACAAATCTGTAAATCTGTGATTTTAACAAATGAGCGGGAAAAAAAACAACTGGCAAAAACATTGTAGGGTTTTTAAGAAATATATTTCCAACTTATGGTGAAAAATAAGTTCTTGGTTTATAGCAAAAGTTAAACTCAGTACTTTATAGCATAACATTTGTTAGCAGTGACTGAGGAAAAATTTTTGGTGTAAGTCTTCACCTGCTTAGCTGGTATTTTGGCCCATTTCCCCCCGGCATATCTCCTCTAGAGCACTCATGTTTTGGTGCTGTTGCCGGGCAACATGGACTTTCAACTCATTCTTCAAATGATCTATGGTGTTGAGGTCTGGAGACTGGCTAGGCCATTCCAGGACCTTGAAAAGCTTTTTATGGAGCAACTGCTTCATTGCCAGAGCTGTGTGTTTGGCATCATTGCTGGAAGACCCATCCCTGTTCCCTCTTCAATACTCTCAGGGATACTTTAGGGAAGGAGGTTGGCTTAAAATCTCCTGATACATGACCCTGTTCTGTGCCCTTTGTAGAAAAAAAAGACCCAAAGCATGATGTTTCCACCCTCATGCTTTATAGTTGGTATGGTGTTCTTGGGATGGAACCCATCTTTCTTCTTACCTTCAATCACCACAAGTTGATTTTGTGCCTCCAAAATTCTATCTTGGTTTGATCTGACCACACAATATTTTCCCAACTTTCTTCTGGATCGTCTGTATACACTCTCTCTTTGGTCTTGGCCATAGTTGAGTTTGGAGTCTGAATGTCTGAAGCTGTGAGCAGGTGTTCTTTATACAGATAATGAGTTCAAACAGCTGCCATCAATACAGGTAATGAGTGTGGATCACTCAGTGTTACTTCACTGTCTCGTCTTAAAACCTATTTTTATTCTTTGGCTTTTAACACAACATGACACTCTTTGTGTTTATGTGGTTGTGGTTTGTTTTGTTGTTTTTTAATTTTTTTTTATTAATACATTTTATATATGTTTTTATTCCTTTAAATGTCTATGTTGTATTTATACATTTTTAAATTTGCCTGATATGTACAGCACTCTGTGACAGTTTTAAAGGGCTTTATAAATAAAGTTGAGTTGAGCACAGAGAAGCTATAAAAGAAGAACTTACAGGTCTGTGAGGACCAAACACCTTGCCTCTTAATGGGTGGCAAAATAGCTATTTTCCATGATAATTTACAAATAAATTCTTTAAAAATTTTATAAATGTTTTAAAACTCAGTTTGAGTCTCATAGTTTAAGTGTACCTATGATGAACATGATAGAGCTCTCTCATCTTTATGAGAAGGCCAACATACACAATCAGTGGCTGACTAGTTTTAGCCCCACTGTACGTTTAAAAAAAAATAATTTAATAAAATATATATATCCCTCTGCTAATAGGATTTAGAATCCTTTTAAACGATATAGCAAAAAAATATATTTTTGTCTCTGCAAAGCAGCTTTTTTCATGTTTCCATTTAAACCATTTGGTGAAATTGAAACACCTTAACCTGCAAGAGGCATAAATAGTCACAGGATTATCTTTATAAAGCCCAGAGAAGATGTGAAATTTTCGCACTTCTCTGAAAATACATTATTATTTTTTTATTTTTAATTTGAAATAAAATGCCAAGGAGGGCAAGAATTAGGCCTAAGCAAGCAATGGGCTGTTGAATGCCGACCGATTCTGCAGTAAAGAGCACATTTGTACATAGAATACATAATAAAATCTGTTTTACAAAAACATTGGACAATGTTCCCACAGTAACACTGGTAAACTGACCGATACACAGATATAAAGGTTAATAAAACATAAATCAGAGTAAAAGCAAAGTCCCATCAATTTGAGTAAATAAACAGAGATGGACTGCACACGTTTGTTCTTCTGACTCAGCAGCACAGACGATAGGAGGCGCAGCAACAATATTATGTCTCACAACAACGCGTCACATCACATACGCACTTTCTCTCAGTGCCCAACTCCCAGGGTGGCAGCTTAATGAAAAGCGGCTATTTACCTTTCATTACGGTCCAACCAGAGATTAAAACAAAAGAAACAAAGGAACAGAGGAGGTGGGAGCAGAGGGTCTGTCAGATGGGCAGGAAGAGAACCAGAGCTCATGTGAAAAATAAGACATTTCCTTTAATGACATCTGTAACATCATGGTTGTATTTCAGTATGATTCTGGATATATTTGAGGATGCAGAGTACATTTCAACAAGGGCGTTGAATCCATTAACTTACAAGTTGACACAACCTAAACCTGCATCGTTTTCTACAAAGACATCATAAGAGGGCACAAATGGTGTAGCAGCAAAAGAAGCGAGTGTTGCTTTCTTGTCTCTACATAGGCTACAGTAGTACAATGTATTTGCAGAGTAGAGATTCATTGTAAGGAACAGCTAAAATTCATTTACAGATACATCTCCACTAAGTCATACACAGTATGGATATGACAGGTTATAAGCAGAGTCTAATAATGGGTGGGGACATTTAGACACTGGAAGCTGGAGAGGATTACCTTAACAGTACATAGCACAGTGATGTTTGAAGTTCACACAAGAGAAGGACACCTAAGAGATATTAACAGGTCCACGCTCTAAATCGGCAGGAAAATGCGGGACAGATAACGACACATGTTTGGAGAATCACATGTTTCTGTTTATACTGATCAACATCATGCCTGAAAACAAAAAACTTAAAAATGCGCATCACACAGAAAACATAGTGCTCTGCCAAAGTATTTATATACCTTTAAATCTCTCCCATCTTGTCACAGTGAGCCGATAATGTGTTTTATTGTTGATTTTACTATGCCAGACCAAAAAACAAAGTGTGCTGCATAACTGTCATATGGAACGAACGTGTTGCGCAGTTTTTAAAGGGTTTGGCAAAAGTGACAATCTGAAAAGTGTGGCATGTATTTGTATTTAGTCCCTTTAGATTTAAAAACACCTTAAACAAAATCCAGTGTGATTAGTTTAAAAGAGTCCACTTGATTATAATTCCATTACTTGAGGTGTCGACTTTGACTTGAACTCAACAAGACAGGAGCCACCAATTTGATGGCTTAAACCTGGACGTCGTTATTTTAGAAAAGGCTTGTGACTTCACTTTGACTTGAATATCAATGAATAGCGGCTAGACTTGGATATCTTTGCTTGAAAAGACTTGATTTACTGCAGAAAGTCAGAAAATGAATTAAAATAAAATGTCCTCATTGTTTCCTCAAACAATTAATGACTTGGAATTGGACTTGTGACTAAACTTAAGTCTTGTCAGTCTTAAATTGAGACTTAACCTCAAATACTTGAGATTTACTTTTTACTTAGAAAGTAAGGAATATGTCCGATCACAATTATTTACAGTATAAAAGCAGTTGTCCCCTGAAGGTCACAGATGATATTAGATAACATAACTTGTGGGCAAACAGCAAGAGACACAGCAGATGGGATCAGGGTTAGTTGAAGAGGAGGGTTAAGCTTTAAAACATAACCTGAAGCTTTGAAAATCTCACAGGGCTCTGCTCAGTCTATCATATAAATATCTCAACACCAAACAGACCAAGAAGTCAATTTTCACAAACAGGGTCAACAAGGAGAGCATTAACCCAAGAGGGCAATGTTAACTAGGGGAGCTGCAGAGATTCCCTGCTCGGGTGGGAGAGTCTGTCATCCATCCATTTTTGCAAGCTTATCCCTGCTGGGGTCGTGACGGGTGCTGGTGCCTATCTCCAGTTGTCTATGGGTGAGAGGTGGGGTACACCCTGGACAGGTCGCCAGTCTATCGCAGGGCAACACAAACAGGATAAACAACTATTCACAAACACACACTCATGTCTAAGGAGAATTTAGAGAAGCCAATTAACCTAACAGTCATTTTTTTGCACTGTAGGAGGAAGCCGGAGTACCTAGAGAGAACCCAGGCATTCACAGATAGACCATGCAAGAAAAATCGAACCGGGGACCTTCTTGCTGCAAGGCAGCAGCACTACCTACTGCACCACTATGCAGCCCGAGGGTCTGTCAGTAAGTCAAATATTAGTTGTCCACTGCATAAATTTGGCCTTTTGTGGAAAAGTAGTTGCGTTTTATTTTTTAAACAAGCCTTTAAAGGTGTGCTTTACAAACTAAGAAGCAGTCCCAGTACACCTGTGGAGGAAGCTGTTCTGCTGAAAACGGAACTGAATTTGGCCAACAGTAAAAACGTTATGGAAGGTGGATAAAGTACACCCAAACCACAGCATCCCTACCATTAAACATGGTGCTGGATCATCATGCTGAGAAAATATATTTCCTAATGGAGGACTGGAAGGCTGATTGACTTGATATAGAGTTCAGAATAATAGAGGCCAGGACAGAGGTTCACCTTCCAACAGGACAAAAGCCCAAAACATACAGCCAGGGAGACAATAAGATGGTTTAGGTCAAAGCATATCAATGTGAGCTAAAGCTAATTTCTCAGACATTTCATTTACTTAACAAGCAAAGCTGCTACAGACATACCAGCAGATGGAACTGCTACTGTATACATGCCCTCACAGTTATGCTCTGCTTAGTGTTGTTCTGTCATACCCCCCCATATGATAGAGCTTGTGTGGTTGTTGTGTGACAACAGTTCTGTGTACTTTTGCAAGGTGCTGTATGTCACAGGTGTCTGCACGAGTGGATTTCATTCAAATTGGTCTTAAACACAGATCAAATTTCTTGTTTTGAAGTAAAACTGATCTCACAATATGTGCTCTACAATCTCGAACACAAGTGCAATCTCTACTGGCATCAAACAACTATAAGGTTTCCCTCGAAACATTTGTTTGCTTATTCAAAAATTCTCTAATCCTGAAACACAAAAGCTTATGCTGGTCATCGACGTCCAAACAGGAAAGGCTGCAAAGTGATTTCACAAAAACAAGGATTGATACCATAATCAATAGATATCTGATGTTTGGTACATCGACTGGGTGGTTGAGTTTATTATTAAGGAAAAGAAACAGGGCTAAACTAGGCTGGCTCTGCTCAAAAGTAACCTAATCTGCCTAACTGAGACCTTTAACCTCCTCCACCTTGGAGGTCTGAGCAACCAGACCATCTGTTGCCTAAATCTCAAAAAATATCAGACTGATGAGGATGCAGCTAATAAGAGGAAAATATATGCAGATTTTCTTTAGCAAGAGCTTAAAAAGAGATTTAAGCTTTTAAGCTTTTACTGAGTCATCATTATTTACGCTGATGAAGCAGAAATATAAAAGAAAATTCCCACTCTGGCCTGGTGATGGGAACAAGGAGGGTGTTCTGAACTGTGTCAAGTGTCTCTTCGGCATAGACCCCTGGGGTTAATCGCTATGCCCTGAGGCTCCTCCAGGTCATACTGACAAACTAATTAACTCAAGGGTCTAAAGCACATTTTATGTGATCCTTTACTTAAAAAGTGAAAAGTCTCTACACATATTTTAGGACCTCTAATAGTAGCTATTCCATCATGTTTTCCAGTACTCAATTAAATAGAAAAGGTCCAGATTATGTTATACTCCCAGGTATAACCATCAACCAACCTGCAGAACTTCAGTATGTTTTTCCAAAGCTTATACTAAATACAGATGCCTTCACAAAATGTAAAATTATTTAGTTGTTAATTCCTTTCAATAATTATTTTAAAACACAACATTCTAATATTATTGTATCGTAGTCTTTACTGGGTGATTTCAAGAGTTGTTTTATTTTTTTCTTAATACTAATGATTATGGCTTACAGCTAATAAAAAAAAAACCCAGTTATGTTTTATAAGAAGTTAAAAAACTCATCCCATCTCAAGGTTTTTATTTAGAGATATCAAGGAAAGGCAATGTTAAGAATCCCTGTCTCCAAAGAAAGATACAGACAGAGCTGTATACAAGCAGCAGATAAATGGAAAAAAAGTATAATTGGTTACAGCACTGTGCAGAGCCAATAAAAAACACTAATAATTGTTGGCTGGATAACTGTCAATTTTAAGTCCCAATGATTGTATCGGCCATAGAACTTCTTTATTTTTTATACATTAGCTGTAAACCATAATAATCAACATCAACAGGAACAGACATTTGAACTATATTGCTTGTTGTGTAATAAATCTATATACCATATAGGATTCAGTGTTGAATTTCTGAACTGAACAAAAACAAAAAAACATTTATTGGTATATACATCCGAAGCTAAATTTGGGCAACTTTAACATTGTGGTTAAAGGAGCAAAAATCCTTTGCATTATTATACTACATCTGGCTTATGTTCTGAGAACCAATTCAGCTTCTTACCTCCAACCAGTAATTATCAACTCCTTAATAAAGACTCTCCTTATTTCCAAATGCATAATCATCTTATCCAGCACAAAGTAACAAAATAAGTATATATATATTTGAATATATATGAAATAGAGAGGTAGTGATTGAAGCATTGATTGACAGCAATAAACACTGAACAACGAGCATGGAAATACAAACATAATCTCGTCTGAGGAGAATATAAATACAAAGCTTATCTCAGCAGCCACCGAAACAAATTTCTGCTGCTTTGGGGCTAACACATAAATAATTCCCACTCTGAATGGCAGCTTGTTTCTGGGTGACCATTCTTTAATCAGGAGAACTGTATGAACACTGAGACGTGAATCGTGGCGTTTCAAAGCTATTGTTGAGCAGTTTTCTGTCCCTAACCCCCTGATATGTCACGGCTAAAGTATTCTCTGTCAATTTTGGCACAGCAGACAGGCTCTGAATGGGAGTTAAAGAAAAACTGGGCACTAAACTCTCTGACCTGCCACTTTCTTAACTCCGCACCCTGACTGACTGACAAGCTGATTGAGAAGTACATCTTTGTTTCCTGACTCTGCAGCAAAGCGTTCATAAAGTAACACTGTGTAAAAACCGTGAGATTCAGCCTGAATATAAACAAGTTATGCTCTGGGTGAATAACAGTCCCTGCATCCGGGCTCTAACATGCAACAACAATAGCTATGTTTTCCTTTCACTGCACCGGGGGACGGCTATTTGCTTGGTTTCTGTGTGCTCCACACAACACCACCCCACTGATTGTTTGAATTACACATTGTAAATCTAGAGTCTCCCATTTGAGGCTCGTGTGAGCCCTCTCTGTTTGAATTCAATACATTTGGGTATACGATCAGCGGGCCACCCAGCGTGGGTCGTGATGCAGACGGATTAAAGATGAACACAAGCAAAGCAAAGACACATCCTGCAATATATATGCTCTTCACTACATCTGCAATCAACCTGGAAGAATTATATAAAATAAAAAAGAGTGGTAAATTATAACATACTCTCTATATGATGGCCTTGCACTAAATCACAGAGAAACAACTGACACATACTGGCACAGATAATGGCTTATGGCTACTTGCATTCATTTCACATTGCTTACACGTATGTAGGTATGGATGCGTATGTGTGTCTACAATTAGCATGTCGTCTGTGTGTTCCTGGTATTCTAAGTGTGAATGCTTGTGTGTGTGAAGCAGTGGAGAACGGCCAGGTTCCATTATTGTCATTCTCCTCACTGCTGAAAAAGAGAAGCAAAGAGAGGCAAAGCGGCTCCTTTCAATTGAGGAGCTCAGAGGACACAAAAGGCTCAAAATTAAACAAATGCCAGAAAGCGGCTTGGAGAGCCAGCCCGTGGTCATATGCTTTGAATGAGAGTGAACGGGTGCAGGGATACCCCATCTGCGTCTTTCAGTGACCAGACCACACAGATACCATCCTCCCCAACAGTCATCTCCTCCATTAGGTCCAGAGACACCGGGGTGCCACATCATATGCGTGTCCCGTATCCTTCTGGTGTGTCTCGAGGTACATATGTCCACTGATACGTTGATGGCTTCTGCTTTAATCCACTTCGCTGCCTCAGTGTGCAGTTTTACTTCCACTGAAACATCAACATGAAGGGCACTTGTCCAAGCTGCTCCCAGTCTTGCCTCCACTGGTCTTTGTCCAGTTAGGTTGCTATCCAGTCTCCAAAAAATAAAACAACAATTCAGCTAAGATAGTTTTAACACCTTTAGCCTCAATCATGTGACAGCGAAATTGCGGGCGCACACACGTATATGAAGCTCTGCCACAGAAGCAACAAGGTTGGAAATTTGCTTGTACACAGACAGATCTACAGCACATTTAGGGTGTGATGATGCAAGAGTACAGGTTCTAGTGTGCCTCTAATAATACATCCTTCGGGTTGAGATATTGGAGGCAGAGCATCTGTACAGTCCATGGCACAGGCGCTGTGAGGTGCTGTGAGTCGGTGATGGATCTGAAGATAGTTGTCGGTGTAAGATGCTACTGACTGGATGGATCAAGTTCTCGTCACTTCACACCTGAAATGATCAATGACACAGAGGAAGGTGTAATTGTCAAAACCTGTTCTGACTGACACTGGACAGAGGAAGGTGTCTGTAAAATATGTCTGAAGAATCTAAAATATTTTTATTTGGGATTTGCAGCTAAAGGAAGGCTGGTGCTCTGGAGATGATTGTATTTACAATGCCTTGCAGACACTAATAGCCCTTAAACCTTTTAATGCTGCACCTTCGCAATTTGTTACATCACAACCAAAAACATTATGTAGCATGGTAATCCCCCCCACCTCCAACACCACACACACACACACAAAGCTTTGTTTTATGACATATGGGGATGTTTAATTGATCTGCATTAATCTGATATGGCCTAACCCAGACTCTTACCCTTAGCCTAACTATTACAAAAATATACGGTAGCAGCTATTCAAAATGGCCCGTCCCAGTCAAATGCCAGCCGAATGGCAGCCCACATCCCTGCAACCTCCAGAAAGAACCCCTCCAACTTCCAGCCACTGGAGTGAACCCCTGCTTCTACTGGGAGTGCATATTCTGACCCCACCATTTCACAAAATTACAGAGTCTGACCAGGAGATAACACTTCTTTTTAATGTCCACGGGTTATCACAGAAAGAATATTTTAGTACAAAGATTGATGTTTAAAAAGGAATTGTAGGGGACCAGCCAATGGCCCATCAAGGAAAGTGGGAAAATGTTGAATGGCTACTACTGTACTTAACCCTTACCTAAACTGAATTAACCTGATTCTTAGTCCTAAACCTAACCCCAACTCCAAGAACAGAACTTTACCATATGGGGACCGTTTGAATGTCCCCATATGTTCCTGTAAGTCCCCGCATGTAGGATATTTTACAAAATACTTCCCCACATTGTAGGTAAAACAAGACCACCCGACCCCATGTTGAAAGACATCTGATCCAGACCCCACATATCAAACTCCGGTGATCAAGGGCCAGTGTGCTGAAACTTTCAGTTTGCTTCTCTATCTACAAACCTTAATTAACTGGATCTTTACCTGGAACTGGATTCCTTGCTGAGGAGGTGTAGGTTGGACCAGATAGGCTGTTAAAGGCTACAGCACACTGGGCCTGAAGGGCTATATTCCAATGGCCATGTGTTACAATGGCCCAGTCACATGCTATCTAGGTCCAATTGTACATGTCTGGTAAGACTTGAACATTTTTGTTTATTAAAAGTCTATCCAATCCGAACATGAAAATATATATTAGATTGTAGATGCCCACAAGAGACCCAATACCTGAAATTTTAGTTGTAGTGGAAGGAGACTGAAGATGGACTGAATACTGATGCAAATACTTTTCAGATTTGTTTTTGTAAACATATTTCACTTGACTTTCCATTTAAAAATGTACAACTTTCTATATGTCCTTGTATTTGGGTCAGTTCAAACTTTTTATATGTGTTTGAGCAGCTGATGTTGACTGACTTGCAGCGACGAGAGTTGAGAGTCTGTCCTTTTCGGCTGCAGCTCCTTTCTTTGAGGGTGCATCGGCACTGACACATCTCGTCCAGGGCCCACCTCCTTCCTTTGCAGGGCCGGCACCGAGGTGTTGGGGAAGGAGGCAGAGAGGGACCTTGTGTGGTGGGAGGATGTGATGGAGGAGTTGGGGCCGTGGAAGAAAACGCCACAGGAGCGTGGGTTCTAAGCAAAAAAGAAGTGGGAAAACAGAACGAAAATATTCTTGTAAGAAGGAAAATACAATTATGAAACTTTCAAAATACATCACTTTAAGATATGATGACATATGAGAAGACATTGCACAAATCAGTAGGATCAAAACTGATATGATATCACACTATGTAATAAACAATATGTGAACTGATGTGATGGATTATAACAGGATAGAAAACAATCAGACATAAATTTGATATTAAATAGTTATAACAAAGTCTAATGCAACACAGTTGTATGTCATAAAAAGCAATACATAAATTACAACATAAACTTATCTAAGGCAATACTTTCCTTCATAAAAGCATAAACAATATAATCATCATACAAATAATAAACAAATAACACAACAACGTTTGCATCACTGGTTTCAAAACTGCTGAAAAGATTTCACCTCATTTGGAGGATTAACTGAGGGAAAGTAATTCATTACTAAAAGAAAAGAGATTGATGGGAGCAATATGTGATTTTAATTCAGAAATAATGAATATGCACCTGATTGAGAGCTCCTTCAACTCAGAAGTATACATGCTGCACCGACGCTTCGAGAAGGGAGGGGAGGAGGGAGGTAGAGTAGTGTGAGAAGGTGATGGAGGAGGAGAGGTCGAGGAGGAAGGAATCACAGGAGCATGGGTTCTGGATGAAAAAGGAATGTGATAATCACAGATGTTAGTTTCAGTCTCCAACTGAAGAATATTGAAGTCTTTATACATTCTAAGCAATAGCCAACATGTGGAGCAATATGACAGCATAGGTAGCATATGTAAACAACATGCATCATAAATTGTTCCAGAATGCATCCATATATTACATTAGAGAATAATATGGTTGAACAGGATTTATTATCATGATGCTACTATTATTGACATGATACTTAACATGTTATGATTATATGATCTTGTGATAAATATGAAAAAATTATAGTTTGCACAAAACTATTTGGCCACTTGAAATATAAAGTGGCAATACATATATATCATGTATATATATGTATTTGATTATTGTTGCTTTTCTTGTAAAATGACTCATTTGTTTATGTTGTCATTCACATACTTCGAGTTAAAAGTATCAGAAAGAGCATTTTACTTTGTGTAGTTAGCATGGATGTAGATTTAGAAGCAGTATGTTATTTTTTTGTTACATTTTTAACATTATAAGGTTTCTGTCTGACTGCATCCATATGATGGATGACTGATATCATGCAATGAAATCCATTAAACTGAATACCATGTGACACAGGATGAAGTGATAAAGCTGGATACAGTGTGATGGAGAATGATACAGTATGTGATGCAAAATAAATATCAAATATTATAATTTTCATACACACTATGCTAGACATTTAACATGTCGAGAGCCAATGCGATACAATACCATGAGATAAAATATAATAATGTAGCGTAAAAAGAAAACGATGATACAATGCAGTAGAACACAACTGGTATGATTTTAAAAAAGAGATTTTAAACTTCTAACCAACAAAAAAGGACCAAAACTATTGGTTGAATTTACAAATATTTCTAGATAATCAATTAACTACATAACTTAAATAACATTGCAAACCACATCAACAACCAAAGCAGCTGGTTTTGTCCATATCTAAATTATGCTTTTATATCTTTAAACGCTTTAAAAGAAATGTTTATGTTTAGTTTAACTGGTTGAAAAAGGACCACACATGGGGTCATGACACCAACTTTGGGGATCAGTGATTTAAAATGATATATGCAGGAACATGTCATAAGATCTAACAATTTGAGACAACACAATGAGATACATGTTCATATATAATAAAGTCATAAATAGGGGTGAGTTGCTATACAATATGGGTCACAATACGATATTATCATGACATCACTATATAAATTGCCAAATTTATCCCAGCTATCACAATAAAATGTATGGATAAAAAAGAAGTAAGTTCGGTATATGCTCATCAGAAGGTATTGATCATTTAGTTATTTTGGTATCCATGTTGTTTGGGGTTTGAGTCAGTCTACGTCTTCTAGTGTGACTGCCTCAACTAAAGAAATGGTGTTGCGCTGCACAGCTAAAGAACTCCACGGTGCTATCTACCAGAGTGGCGGTGCAGAGGTAGCCCATTTGCCCTCATTGTTTTAACGTTAAAAAAAGTTTTTATAAAAAAATCAATGTTAGGAACTGAAAGATCGATATTATATTGGGCAGCTGAAAACCACAATATATATATCGCCAAATCGATTTTTCCCACACCCCTAGTCGTAAATGATATAATATAGCATTATGCAACAGTATATGATTTAGTGCCAGAGGTAAGCTCTCTCCCACTGTGGCTCAGCTGCCACTCATGTTTTTAGTTTTTAGACTCTGATGTCACAATAGCTAACTTTTAAGAAGTAGAAAAAATAAAATAAACAGAGATTACACGGTTTTTGTCTATTCGTCCTTGTTATCTTTGCTGGTATTTGGACCAGAAACGTACTTTGAGCCGACAGTAGATTTGATGACAGGCCGATAGGATTGCTATCGTTTTATTTGATCACCACAGGGGCATGGCGTTTAGAGTAGAAATCCAGGATAAGAATATTTTTGTTCCTTTTCATTGCTTTGAGTCTCAGGAATGTAAAAATGTGTGATGATCTGTCCAGGAATTGCTGGGATATTCTAGGATTTCACTTTCTAAAAATGAAATGGAGGGCTTGTTTAAACATGGACACTGCCCGTCCGAGACAAACCCCCACAATGTAGAGTGTGGGAGATGTGTGACTAATGTGAGATAATGTTTCTTTGGAGGCTGACAAACTAGCCCCTCTGTCTGTCCGTCTGTCTCTCTGTCTGTTACCATGGCTATGCTCGCCTTGTCGCCTTTCAGTCCTTCGGGTTCCACCTCTAGATGCCCTGATCTTTCGCTCTCCGAAGTCTGAGTCTGAGAAAGTTGCCTGCGTCAGTCGGTCCATTAACTGAAGCTAGTTCCGCCTCAGTCGTCCCCAGGAGGCCGGTGGCTTTAATGAAGTTACTTAATGAGGCAGAGAGGACCCATCTTTGTTCGCATCCCGCTGACCACGCCTGCCGCTGGCACGGATAGAAAAGGTGGCATTTGGAAGCAGATTACACAGATTTCACCCCTGCCAAAGTTTGAATAAAGCCTTTTCTGAGTGATGGATGGGTGCTGGGGGACATCACACCCAAACAGAGCCACCTCTGGCCCCAAGGGTCCGGAAATAACTGACAATAAAGTAGCAGATAAAAAAGGTTGAAGAGGAAAGAAGTTCTGAATCTTTTATCCTTCAGGACTTAATTGTGATTATATTTCCAAACTGTACTGGGAATTAAAAACAGCTTGTCTCACAGATATAGACCAACTACTGGCTAAATACTGAGTTGATAACCGTGACTAAGTAGTTTATCCGTGGATTACAGCGATCTGCGTGTGTGTGTGTGTGTGAGAGCAAGAGTGAGACCTTGACTGTTGCTGTGGCTGTAAAACAAATTGTCCTTCAGTAGAAGTGCAGTCCGGATAACCCATTTTTCTCTAATCAAAACACTCACTAAGCTTGTGAGCATCCGGAAAACCCTGATTGCTATAAGTTGAAACAACAGAGTTAAGCTTCTAATTGAGCTGAAAAGTGTGAAGCTTGCAAAAAAACGTTGAACATACCCAGATCTGATGGATCCTGGTTTCCTTTGCTTGGACTTCCTCCTCTCTTTTTTCTTCTCTTTTCCTCCTGGATTCAAATAGGGCCTGAAAACAGAAAAACATTTTTTTTTTAAACTTAATGTTTAATTAAGCAACATTCTTATTATTTATTTATTTATTTATTTATTTATTATTTTAGTAAAATGGCTTTAGATTTCAAGACTTTGCAATAAGTTTTCGGGGAACTTTTTGGAACAAGAACTTTTGTATCTACGTTTGTCTTCTGTTATATCTCAGATATCAAACACCATCATTATTTATTACAAAATACAGAATTTAAACAGCCTTCTTACACTAAACCTTTGTTAAACCCATCTGTATTTGAATTTGACAGAGGCTGTCTAGAAAGTAAAGGAAAAAAACAAGATGCATTTCTATTTTTCTGGAACCAGATAACCCGTTGCTTTTCGTTGGGTAAATTCTTAGGTATGAAAATGTTTGAAAATGTACAACTTTGCACCATTTTCTACAAGAAATTTAAAGTTTAATCAAGTTGAACTTTGTATCTTGCCATACAGGAAGAAAATTCAAAACAAAGCGGGACTGTTTTTAATAAAACTAGTGCAAAAAAAACAAGAGTTAGAAAACTGTCTCTTCAGGAACTACACCTGAAAGGGATTCCCACCATACTGCAACTCTCAAAAACGACAGAGTGAAGTGTTTCCATTGGGCATATTTCACAGAAAGTCAGATCTCTAAAGAATGATAAATGATGCACCTAACACTGATTTTGGGCAAAAATTATAAATAAATAAAATAAAATGTGGGATTTAACTTATTTATACACATCTAGGTTTTTGGGTTGTAGTTTATTTTATTATAGCTGAAATTATGTTAAAATAAACTGAGCTGCTTTCAGTGGTGTCAAAAGAAAACACATTTGTTACTTAAGTAGAAGTATAGATAATGCAGTTTAAAAACACTGTGGTAGAAGTTGAAGTATCAACTTGACCTCTTTACTCAAGTAAAAGTGAAAAAATATGTGCTCCAAAAAGCTTGTTAAAGTATAAAAGTATAAAGTAACCTTTAAAAAAACTGCCAGATGCCACTATATGAATTAAAAGCTAAATTTTTTAGATTTGAGATTAGGGAGGTCTTGTTGGTCTCAGTCTCCGTCTCCCGATACGCTCTCGCCTATGTCCGACCTTTCAGACATATTAACATCTTTTTCTGAATCCAACATTGTAGCATGGTGTAGACAATTCACATTTGCAGTTTGAAGAACACCTGCTTGCTTCTCATGATTTTCTTAAGCTAACCAATGTGTGTTTGCCTTATATAACTCATCCAATAACACTAGTGTTCACTAGATGTGGATGGCGCCAATGATCTGCATTGGATGGCGCACATGACATGAAATAAATATTTATCAACATTAAACCAAAGCCAAGAGTAACAAGTAAATTTGCTTTAAAAATGTAAGGAATAGAAAGTACAGATACTTGTGTGAAAATGTAATGAGTAGAAGTCAGAAGAAGGAAAAAGAATAAGTAATGGAGTAAAGTATAGATACCTAAAAAGTGTACTTAAGTACAGTAAGGAAGTATTTGTAATTCGTTACTTGACACCTCTGGCTGCTTTTTGCTAAAACTGAAACAGCAGGATTAGGTATTTAAAAATGGGTCCAATGTCAAAAAAAATGTTGCTTTTAAACAGATTTCCTACTTTTCACATAAAGTTAAGACTTTCTTTTGAACATAACTGTGTGAATGGGTATTGTGATTGTGAGAAAAAGTGACAGGATCACAGGCAACAAATCTTTTAGAAGCAATATTTGAGGAATAGGACATATTTTAAAAGGGAACAGTTTCATATCTGCTTTATTCTCTGTCATTCTTTTCCTGCTAATTAAGGCCTGTTCACCCATCAGAATAGATCCATCAATAAATTCAACAAGCTGCGGACCCCAATCCAAAGACCTTTTGGTCATCCTCCATAAATTTTGGCTTTTCTGTTTAACCTCTAGGACTTTACTCTTGTTCTGTGTTTGCCTCTATCAGATTACAAATAGTTTATGCTTCTCGTTAACCTTTATCCAGATATAAGGTCAGCGTTAACCAGCTTTGGCCTGACATTATAAACAGCTCCTCCTGTTGATGTTGTTGTTCTTGGAGCTCTAATTTACTATTATGGATGCGTGACTGTGCTCCATCTGTCTGGGAGAGAGCACATGGGAGGGGAGATAAAATCATCACTATGGTGACAACAGGATGCGGGCCGTCCCAAGGGAGATAGGGAGAGAGTCACACAGATGCTAAATCCCTGAGGCACACACAATCACCCAAAAACATCTTTTAAATCCACACAAAAAAAAGTTTGTGTGCACAAAAAAAACAAAGTATTAAAAAGTTCAGACATTACAGACGCTCCTGTTCTTTAACTGAAACATGTCCAGGATAAATGTACACACATAGGTTGGAATCGCCTATTTATGTCCACGTCCAAACAGGAAGCAGGGGGACATAAACATTAAGGAGGTAATTATGTGATTATCTGTCTGGACCTGGCAGTGTGAGGTGTACAAACAAACAGACCCAACAGAAACGCTTGTTTCACAACTGTTCTGATGAAGAGCAGCGTTTCCATAGGGAGGGTTTACTATCTGCAAGATGAACTACAGTAAGAAAGGTTTAATAAGTGCTAAAAGTATCTGACATCAAGTCTGAGGGCTCTGATTGCCATGGACTTTCAGATGAGTTAACAATAAACAGCATGTTACATTATAATAAGACATCAAGGTGAACCAGTGCTGCCAGAGCCTTAATATGTAACTGCAGCATCTCTGGTTCTACCTTTACAGCAGAATGCTTTCATATGTTCCTTTAGCTGTGTTAAAGCCACTTTACAGCTGATAAGGACTGCAGGACGCTTCTCTGCAGAGTGTTTTCATCTCAAATGGTGGAAATTTCCTACAGGTCAATGTGCACAAGGAGGATGTGACACACTGTGCTGGATGGAAGGCCTGTATTGTCTGCAGCAGACTTGCTAATCCACAAACACAGGCAGGATTATATGGCAAAAAAACTGGAGAGGTAAAAACACTAAGAAACAATTGTAGGTGCCATATGTTACATAATCACATTTTGATTTTCAGGATCTTTGCAAATTAAAACAAAAACAGAACACATTTTGTTAATCATTACGTAAAAAAAGCAGGATTGAATGAATTTTAGTTCAGATTTCCCAGACCCCCTTCATCATCAGCCCTCCAACCTCCTGGTCCCATCCTTTACTATTCTATTTGATGAAAGCATTTCCTCTTGAAATCGACCATTTAAATACACAAAATGCAGAAGGGTGATGAAAAAAGTAAAGCTTGACTGAATGTCAAAACTCCCTCATTGTTCCACCCAGAAGGTAAAGTCACAGCCAAGTTTGGCCCAAAAGCTGCAGATGATTAATTGATCATGAGCAGCTGTGACTGAATGTTTTGGCAGCTTTGCAGCTCTGGAGCACAAAACATCGGCAAGGACCTTCAGGAAGCTACTTTTTTGGCTCATCAGTCTGGGAAGGGGATGTAAAGCAAGTTATATATGATCTGCATTATTCTGTATGGAGAGAGATTACTGCCATTAAGAAAACAGAGGGTTGCTAATCTATTATAAAAGGCATGTACGAGGCAATTGAAACCGTTTGTGCTCCAGAAGTCTCAGTTAGCCTCTTAGATGTCAAAGTCTTATATTTTTTTTATGATAATCTTTCCAGAACAAATTCTCTCCAGGAAACTTTGTAAAGTTGGATAAACTATATAATACCTCTTGATCTGTGTTCTTTAGGTAGATCAAACCTAATTAAAGTGTTCAGTTTTAATGCTCATGCCATGTTTGGAAAAGCTAGCACAGCACAGCAAGTTTAAGGCACTGAGATGGATGGATGATAAGCACCCATCGCTGAGATAATCATAAACTCCTCTACATAACCAAGTGTTTTGGATTCAGATGTGATGCCTTCGATCAGAGAATATCGGGCCAAACCGGGTCAATGATCCAAAGTGCAACAGCAAATCTTCAACAGAGCAGCTTAAACAGAAAACAATCAGGTGTTCCAATGGTCCATTCAAACCAATGCACAAAGTGTACAAACCTTAATGTAGTGAAGCAATGTTATAAAGAGGAATGGAACGAATATGTTTTAAAGAGTTACTTCAGTTACTTCATGTCAACTTTATTAAAAGCAATCCTTATTAAAAGCCCATCATTGTTTGCTATTGATAACCAGATTTAATATGATGAGAAACTGGTATCAGACGTTCTGCTCATGATGACTGATTTAAAGCTACAGTGTGTAATAATTACAGGGATATACAGTCAGAAATGTAATATATTATACATAACTATGTTATTTATCATCATCTACGAGCTCAGCCTCTTAACCTTAATATTTGCGTTGCCTTAGAATTCGTTATTTATAATTACATAGGAGCGGGTCTCGCAGCCATGGAGGCAGACATCTTTGCGCTACGGCAGCGGAGAGCCAACAAACTAGCGATTGCGAGATCGCCAAAACGTCACAACGATGTAGAACAAATAACGGGTATATTTATTATCTTAAGTCTACATGAAATCTATACCCTACACAGACTAATGAAATACTATCTGTAAAATTATCTATGTAAACAAACCTCATCACTTGAGAAGGTAGGTGATGCGGACGTCGTGGAAGACATTTTGTCCCGTAACGCTCGCCGTACTGTTGGGGGGGAGAAGCGGTGGGGGGGAGATGTTCATGTTGCTGCAGTCTGCAGTGTGACCGCTAGATGTCGCTAAAACTTACACACTGTAGCTTTAATCTATGGAAACAATTAGGACCCTTGCTTACTGTTAGGAATCCAGTCTGTGTGGTTTGTTTTGTGTTTGTCTTCCTTCCTCCACCAGGTGGTGCCTGGTTCTGGTTGGCCTCCTCACACACCTGCGGAAGGTTACCTCATTAACGGAGTGCTCTTAAGCTGCTGACTGCCACTACCTCAACGCCAGAGTGTGTGCCAGTTTTGGGTACTTTAGCCAAGCTGAGTTTTGCTGAGTCAAACTGAGTTTTTGTCTACCTGAGTTTTAACCTAGCTGTTTTTGTCTTTGCCTCTCGGCAGGAAGTCATCCTGCAAACTGGATGGTTCGGGACCTTTTCTCCCCTGGAAGGATCTTCTGAGAATCAAACTGAGCTGGGGATTCAAGTTTGTGGATCTCCTTTTCCCCAAGGATCGTTTGGGGCTTCTCTCTGAGATTCATATCCCGTTTAAGTACCGTAGGAAATCTGAGTGGCAGTCAGCTTCTCCGTTCACCAACAATGCGTACAACCGCATTCTGGGTAAACCCTGTCCGCCCTCCATCGATCAAGACAAACACTGGAACATCCCACACCAACTGGAGTCAATAAGAGACACCATTTTCTGGAAACGTGAGTCCGTTACCTATTTCTCCTCTTCAAGTTCAAGAATCAAATTTCCCACTGAGCCTGAACTAACCGCAGTGTCTTCCCCTCGAACAGTGTTCAGAGCTACACTGGACTCTTCTCATCCTTCTCAAAGACCTGTTAAACTTTTCCCTGGTCTCTCTGTGTTGGTTCTCTGCATGTGGGTCTGAGTACTTGATAAAATCATGACACTTACAGCACTGCTGTGTAACTTTAAATGATAGACCTGTAACTTCCAGGTTTTGCACCCCTGAAGTCCACCAGCAACAAAGTTCAACAGCCTCCTACTGTGTTGTGAAAGCTGATAGCAGATCATTTCGGACCAGGAGATTGAGAAGTTATGGAGTTACTGTAAATGGAAGGACACACCTCTAGATGAAATCCTAGGTCAGAGAACCTACATAATGTATGTCTGATCAGGCAAGTGTCATATCTGCTTTGTTGGCTAACAACCTTTAGCCTTGCTGGTGAAGATTCCCAGTCCTCCAGGTCATAGTCATTCCAAAAAAGTTAAAAAACAATCCACTGGACTTTGTTTCCAAGTTTGAAGACATTTTGCTTCCCATTCAGGAAGCTTTTTCAATTCAAAATGTCAGAAATAGCGTTGAGTTCGAAGCTTTATATAGTAGCTCAAAACCTGGTTTTGGCTTAAAAAACGTGCAAATTGAACCAGAAGAATGTGTCCGCCCCGTTTTGGTTTCTTATCGGTCAAAATGTAATTACTTTGGATTGTATTGGTGTAAATAGAAATGGTTTATAATGGATTGAAGTAATAAAACTTGAATAAAGATAAGATCACAATACAGTTTTCTATTTAATCTGGATTTGTGAATTTGTTTTTTCTTTTTTAACAAACCTTATACAAATATATTTTTCAAACTATTTCAAGCTATTGCTGTGGTTAACTTTGCAAATGTTCCATTTTGCAATTACACGGGAGAAGTTTGATGTACATTTGAATAAATACAAAAGTAATTTATTCCTAGTCCCTTTTAATGGCCCAAAAAGAAACACAAAACAGTTTATCTGGATACCTTCTCCTTTCAGAGATTTAATGGTTTTATCATGGGAATATAGTTTTATTAGTAAGGTTATCTCATTATATAATGGAATCAAAACAGAACATGTAAACTTTGAAATGAGAACAGACAAAAATGTGACAGTAGAAAGGTTACCTGCTAGTGGGTGTCGGCTGGAACTGTTCTTTTAATCTGTGTGCAGATAGAGAGAGAAAATCGGATGTCAGTGAAGGGCAGGTACTCCATGAATCTATACACAGATGACTGTTTTTATTACCTGCACTCGCACTGGCTGTGCTCTATGAAGGGCAGCTCAATGAGCTCATGTTTCATGAAGGACGTTCTCATCAGCTGCACACAGAGCCACAGAGAAAGATTATTTCCCTCTTATCATCTAACCAAAACAAATAGATGTGTGTGAGTGTGTACCTCCATGGTGAGGGTGTGTGTCAGAGAAGGGACACACTCCAAGGCCTCATCTGTGCAGCAGCCGCCACATCGCTTCACAGAAACGCAGGACGGGATGAAGAGATGATGAATCTCCCCCGGCAACTCCCGCCAAACCTCCACCAGAGTGTCGCGTGGCTCGCAGCCGCTGCGCGAGTACACCTCGAGCCACCGACGCACTGATGGACGGACGCATGTGGTTGGTTATGATTTAACACTTTCAGCTCCCTGAATGCAGATGCTTTGACAGATATTTGAAGCTCACCTTCCCGACCTTCCCTGGATCTGGGAGAGTCTGCAGGCCGCCAGTGAGCAAGCTGGAGAGACAGTAAAAATAGGGAATGTTAACATCAGAAACTAGTTTTATTTAAGCAGTAGAAAAACTTGAGCTCAGACAATCAGAAACTATTCCGTTGTCTGATTTTGAACTGATATTTTGGGTTTTATTTTGGTTTCATTTCAAATAATCAAAATTACTCATTTATATTGTACAAAGAAAAATACCTGTTTAGTATATAGCATATTTTAGTATTTTTTTTCTGACATTTTAACGTAAAAAACAATTCTTATCTGACTTTTTAAACACTGTTGAACTCTGAGAAATATTTTCATAAAGAAGAAATATGTATCTAATGCTTGAAGCTCAGATAAAAAACACAAACAAATCATCCTGAAACATTCAAGATAAGAAAATTGAATTAATTCATTCATTCAAATGCCAAATAAAAACAAGAAAATACGGTATTTTTCACAAGTTGAAACAAAGGACTAAATAATTAAGGCTATTAATATCTAATATGCATAGACATGTCATATATTAGCTATTTAAAATATATAAAATATCGAAGTAAAAAAAAAAAAGTACAAGTTAAAATGACTTGAATACCTCAAAAATGATTCAATAGTTAGTTAATGATCAATAAATGCCCTCTGGAAAGAAAAAGGACCCTAACTAAAATAACATCTCTGTTGTATAATGTCCTCCAACCCATGTATAAAGCTGTAACTGAACTGGAGAGATTGTTCAGTGACAGACTGCTGCACCCTACAAACACCAGGGAGCATTATCACAGATCCTTCCTCCCAGCAGCTGTAAGACTCTATAACCATCCCTGTTTCCAACAACCTCAATAAGTTGTTACATTCATGCTGATTTTTGAAAAGTTTCTGTCTTAGTTATTAAATAACATGCTGCTGTCATTTTCTTTTCACATCTCTGCTGTTGCTGCCATTTTCCCATATCCATTACTGTAAGAATGTCCAAAGCTGTGTAATGATTATTCATTCTCCAGATACAGTGTATTTATATAGTAAAAACACTGTACAGTACAGTACTTTATTTGTTTATTTTCTTAACGCTGTCACTTATTCTGTTATTTTTATACACTTTTCTAAGGTCCACATTGTGTGACCAGCTTCGCTGCTGCTGTAACACCACAATTACCCCATTGTGGAACAATAAAGGAATTTTCTATTCTATAATTCTGGGTCTAATTAAGGTTAACTTCAGCGCTGGTACTGCATTAGATTTCGAAATACAGCCTGTCATTTGCTGTTATTGATCACCAAGCCACATTTATTCCTAAGGTGAAGCATTAAAAGGCTGCAGACACCCTTGATTTATTGTCCCAAACCTCTGCTTTGACAGCCTTGCGAAACCTTGCTGGAGCAGATCCAAAGATCAAAGTATCTCTTGTTAATGAACACCATAATATTTCACACCTGGGATAAGGACACGACAAGCTCAATAGAGCCCGGCTGACAGATAAGAGGAAAAAATAAATAAAAAAAACACAAGGGAACCTCTGAACTTTGATACTAAAGGTAAGAGCAGGTGCAACAGCTAATTTAAACATCAAGGTACATATTTGGCAGCACATTATACAACACATTCCCTTCACAGATGAGGTTTGCTGGTCCATTTGAATTTAAAATGGCCATGATCAAATTTCTCCTCCATGATCATGTAGAAAATGACGGTGCTCAATATTTGAACCCATTGCACCTGCTACCTTTGCCCTCAAGTCTGCATTGGTTTTAAAACATACAAACAGAGGTGCATAGGGAAATGGATATCTGAATGAATTAAAATAGATAAATTCAACTTCTTAGAATGCAATTCTGCTTCATTTTTTTTTTTTTTTTTTACAGTATTTTTGATTAAATTGTCACAAACTTTAATCATGGAAATGTAGAAATCTCTTCTGAACCGATGACTTAAATGTTAAGTGTCCAAGAAATACATTTTAATTAACCAGAAAAAACAAACAAACAAAAAAACAAGTAAAAAAAAAATTACACAACAATGTATGTCTAATTAGAAATGTGTTCTTTGGCAAGTTAACATAACATAATTGTAACATACTGTAAAATACTGCTTAACATTTTCCCTTCTCCCATTATATATATATATATATATATATATATATATATATATATATATATATATATATATATATATACAAAAATATGTAACAGGATGCAATGGTAAGATCATATACATCACAGGAGCCTTTCTTTCTTTCTGAAATAGCCCTTTTTTTAATAGGTTCTGCATTGATAATTATGTTCTACTTCTCTGAATTGCATGAATAATGATCTTGATGAATGAACACTTTGTCCACACAGGGCTTCACTGATTGGTGAGGCTTTATAACATGATGCAATAGACTTTTTACCAATTAACCTCATTCATTGTGAGATATTCTTCTAGTTTAATTATGGTTGGAGAGACACACTCGAGCATATTTTTTTTTGCTTATGTTAATGGCTTTAAATTTAAGATTAAGTATATTGTATTGTTTACATTTAGTTTAGTTTAACAGGGACAATAGTGTATCCAGAAATGATTTAAAAAGGTTTAAAAAAGATTTGCACTGTGTCTTAGTTGTTTCAATTTTTTTTGTGGAAATTTTTGAAAATATCTTTATTGGATTTCTTAAATTCCACTTGACTTATAATTACCGATCACTGTCACTGTACTAAATGCCCCATAGCAAATAAATCATGTTTAATTTCTCTTTGCAGAGAGGGCTGGACCAGTCAGCAGTGATGATGAACAGTTTTTGTCTACTAGAAAATGAACATTTATTGAGATTTTCACCTTCTTGAAAACCTACAGAAAAACATCAAGCCAAACAAAAGTCAGCATTGTTTACCAATGTCGGTTCACACTTGGCTTGCTGCCCATTTGAAAATGCTAATTGTTACATTTAACAAAATAGTAGAAGCTGATCTTACTGTAAAGCTACATCAAAGCAACTCCTCAGAAATAAATCCTCAGCTCCTTATGTGAATTATTAATGTCAGTTCACAGCAGGAAGGCTGCTTGAATTACACTGTACAGAAAAAAAGAATGAATAATTCATGAAAAATATTATTCTTCTGACAGTAAATTTTTTTTTTTTACTTCGCAAATATTCACACTGCGATCTATTTCCTACTGGGCTGTTGTGGGGAAAACCGCTGGAAGCTGTACTGTAATTCTTAATAAGCCAGCCAGCCAGCCAGCCAGCCAGCCAGCCAGCCAGCCAGCCAGCCAGCCAGCCAGCCAGCCATCCATCCATCCATCCATCCATCCATCCATCCATCCATCCATCCATCCATCCAGCTTGAGGATCCCTCAAAGTATCTTTGCTGTTCCTATAGGACTTCTGGACTGAGATCTCCAATGTTTCTCCAAGGATCTGTTGGTGTCATGTCGCCGGTTTGGGGGTCATTGCTGCTGAGCGCTCCAATGGCTACAGATGTCACTATCATCTTCACCTGCAAGGCTATTTCTCGCTCTTCCCCCGAGTCATTGATGTTTTTCCATGTTCTCATGTTCCAGTTCCTGAAGTATCCATTGTCTGGGATGGCAACATCATTTCCAGCAGCTGTCCTTTTTCGCTTATCAGTGTTTAAGATGCCCAGCTGGTGGTTTTTATCTGAAACTCCCACAGGATCATAGCTTGGTTATTTTCGACCACCTTGGCAGGTTTTTCACCAATTTGACCTTGGCGTCTCCAGTTCATCATCCACAAAGATGTTTCTCTACACTTCACTTGCTTGGTTGGAGGTCCATGTACTCAATATCTTTAATAACATCAGAGTGCATTTCTAAAACAGCTTTAAAATTCAGTTAAAACTCAGCATCTTCACAGGGTCTTTTGCATTTGCTCTGGTGTTGATAAGGAATTATAATTTCTGAATGGCGTGTTTGCTGGACATTTCTATGGTCTATATTCTAGTGATGAACTGTCAAAACAGTTGAAGAAAGCATCCTTAAACATTTGGAAATTACTCCCAATGATTGACCTAACGGCTGCCAGTCCTCGGATTTTAACATCTTAGCTGATTTATTTTGATTTCCCTATGATGTCAGATAAGAGCAGGGTATATCTTAGGTGAAAGCTAAAATACATCTACAGTTGCGCCTCTGTTTAACTCTGGTGTGATTTAACATATCTGAGCTCTCTCAAATGTTAAAGAACAGTATTAGTCATAGGGTATGCAAACTTGAGACATTTTATTGCAATCTATTATGATATTTAATGACTGAACTGATTAAAAATGGTTGGTCCAATCAAATGCCTTGATAGATGGATGAGTTAAAATGGGAATTGGCAATTTGGAGGTTGGCATTAACTTTGGGAACAGGCCTGTGATTGGTCCAGTTCCACTGTAATATTCTAATATCGCAGCACATTACAGCATGTTTTCCTTGTACTTCTGTGTTGAACTTTAGTGCCTAAATTATCTGAAAATAACTGCAAAACAAAAATATTACATAATACAACAGCTATGTTTTATTACTGGATTTAATTTAAATAATAATAAAATACTCTTCCTTGTTGTGAAAGAACTCAGATAGAGAAAACAGATTTTACGGCTCAGAGTTTGAGTCTATGTGTGCATGAGGACCAAGGCCACTAGTACAGGAATGTAGACTTTGTCCAATTGGCCCCTCGTTCAAAGCGCTCCACCCCCAGTTCACTCTCACTAACACAGGTTTGACTCTTATTGATTCAACAATGTGTCAAGCTGCAACTGAAGCCATTTTGTGGCTGGTTTGAGCTAAACTGTGAGTCTTCTCTTAAAAAGTCTAAGATTAACTCCTTTTGGCAGCCATATCTGTCGCACACACGCACTCAAAATGACACTTTCAAAATGAGTGCCAGCCCTGAGCCATCTGCACTGGCAGCACTATCTGTCAACTGTCTAACCCATCTAACTAAGCCACTCCCTGACACACTGTTCAGATGGGGCGGTGTGTGTTTATATTTGTGTTGAATGAAGGGGACACTACACCAGCGAGGCCCATCGCCACCACAGAAGAAGGATGACCCCTTTTTACAAATAAGCTGTCAGGGAGGCAGACGGCTTAGAAACAGAGAGTCTGTGGGTGTGAAGGTGAAGAGGCTTTCTGGTGTTTCATGTAGTGTCTGGGATGATAAATGACTATAAGCTCCAGCATTATGGCAGTAGGGGGCTGCTGCTGCTTCAGGGCACTGCCTGTTCCTGATACTTTATGCTCCTGACATGAATATAAAGAGCAGAATGTGCAGGTCTGTTGTGTAGAAGAAGCACATAAATCATGTCAGTGCAATCAATTAGCGTTCAATATGACCAATGACTCTCTGTTTAAATCATAAAAGGAAGAAATACACTGATAACTATTTTATGATATGTACTGTATAGTCACAGGGCTTTAAATTTTTTTAATGCTAAATAGGTAAACCCATGTTTTCATCTCTTAATTTAACAAATGCAACAGATTACTAAATAAGATCATCTGGTTTCTTTAATAAATTGATTTCTGCAAGCTGATTCCTTTATCCTTTTAGCCAGGCTATATTAGTTTATAAGAAACATTAAAAGACTTTAAGTTATTATCACATGCTTTTGTTCTTTAGAATGGCGCCAATAATAAACTAATTTGATAGTTTACTGGCAAAGCTGATCTATAAAACTTACATACATAGAGTTGGAGTTTCACTGTGTTCTCATGAAACACTAAATAGATTATCTAATCTTTTCATCTAACAGCAGAACGAAAACACAAAGACGAAGCCTGCATTTGAAATATATGTAAAACTGGTGGGTTTTTAAATCCACACCTAAAAATGAGTTACAGATGCCCAGCTTTGTTTTTTAACCCGATGTTTAAAAGGATCGAAAACCCCATTTTATATAAAAAAAAAAACAACATAAAGGAAAAGAAGTAAGCTGGTGCTGGAGGGGAAATTTTCCACAACCTTGAGACTCATTAACTGATCTAGAAAGAACTGGTAGGTTAAAGCGTTTTGAACTACAATCAGGGTATTCAAACCACATTTTTTAATCTACAGGTTATTTAAGGGATGTCTACTCAATTGACCAACGTTTGCATAGATCATTTGATTTTTACACAAAAAAATCTGAAAATTAGAACATGAATTAATATTAAACTATGTTACTCTTAGACCTCTGACTAAAATACTTTACAACCGTTTGAATCCAGATGTAGGAGTACAGGACAGATCAGCAATATAATTGTGAAGGAGTTTGAAGGAGGGTTAAGAGGGTTCAGGGTCTGACAAGCATCCAGGAGGAACATGCACCTCAGTAGGAGCTGCAGAAATCTAAGGCTCAGCTTGTTAATTTTACACAGAACAGCTATTAGTCATTAATTCCATAAAATATAATCTTTATGAAACAGTCAATAAGAAAATCCTACTTATATAAGTTATGGCTGATGTTTGCCATGAGCTCAGAAGAGATCAAAATGTAAGAAAATTAGCTATTTAAATGTCAAACGCGATATGAGGTCAGAAACTAATACCGCACATCACCCCAAACACAGCATCCCCAGAGTGAAACATAGTGGTGGCAGACTCATGCTGTGGGATGCTTTTCTTCAACAAGAGGTGTGTTCACCTTCAAGCAGTAAAATAATTATAAACACTCGTTAGAACGGTTTAGATCAAAGAATATCCATGTGTTTGAATGGCCCAGTCAAACTCCAGGCTGAATAGAGAACTGTTTAAATAAAGCTTAATGACAACTTTAATTGTGTTTCTATAAATATGAGCCACACTTTCACTTCAGAAAGATTTGTTATATAGCTTTGTAGTAAATTCACCTTAAAACAGTCAGTGTTTGGCCAATATATACCACTAATCCCTATCCCTGCACATTAAACACATATTAAATATTAGAATTAAAGCACTCTGTCACCATCTAGTGGTGGGAATTATGTAGTTTATCCAGTTTCATTCATTTGCTTTCTCATTTATTCTGCTTCCATTTCCTTCATTTAGAGACTGAAAGCAAAATCCCAAATAATTCTAAAACCATCAGTAAATTAAAGCAGACATTCTTTTTCTTTCACTTCACAATTATGCACTTCTCCCAACTCTCCCAATAAAATGTACAAATGTTTCACTATAAAACCTGCAGACATTCAAGGTATGCAAGGCAAAACAAAAACCTCAGTATAGAACTGACTTCAACACAAACCATCCTGAAGGGTTGTGTTTGTCAGTCACATGACCTGAGGTGACAGGTGTCATTGACCTAGGGGATAACTTTCACAAAAGCAGCAAAGAAGACCTTAGCCCCTCGGAATAAGCTAGAAATGAGTCTTCATGTATAATTATCACCCCACGCGTGTTTTCTCTCTCCACAGGGGTCCAAACATAAAGAACATACCTTGGCATGGAAGGTCGGTATTCTGGTGAGCAGCAGGAACTGAAACATTCCTAGAATAACTTGAAGCATAATCCCCATCATGCAGAAGTCCAAAGGCGCACTATATGTGTTTCACTCCAAAATAATAATAAGAAAAAAAGATTAAAGGTGGTGTGTTGGTTTTCTTCTCCGGTTATAGCCGCAGATGTCCCGCTTTCATTCCCCAGTCTCCCTTCCTTGAAAGCGCTCCCAGGGTGGCATCATCCCTGTTGGAATATTAACTTTGCTTTCCTGCATTTGGGATTAAATTGGATTAGAAAACATGCCTAGAATCAGTCTCCAGCCTAAAGTAAGTTAAGCCTCTGTCTGTTTTAAATGCATAACCTTGAGGAGAGCGACAGAAGCGGGCCTTTGTCTTGAAAATTGAATAAACTTTAAATTAAAGCCCGTTTTTTTTCTCTTCTTTAAATCTATTCTGACCCTGATCCCGGTGATGGTTTGTGCGTGTGTGTGGTGGTGGGGGGGATCCAACCGGCGTGGCGTGACAGGATTATACAGATTCCCGCTGAAACGTGGTGCGATCAGAAAATCTTGGCGTGTCTATGAGGAAAAAGCCCCCATCATCCAGGAATAGGAGCCTCTATCCGGTAAAGATCCGCCGCGCAAAGGGACAGAGCTGCGTATTCCTCTCCTCTGACTCCGTCACCGTTTCACCACTCTACAGCTCCAAAGGAAAATGTGACGTCTCATCCCAGACGCATCACTCCGCTAGTTTTTTTTTAACCTCCTTATAAATAACCCGGTCCTCCTCTGAGATAGAAAAGCATCTGTGGACGAGGAGCAGCAGGAGGAGGAGGACAGTCCGCTCACAGAGACAGAAAGATCCGCGCTCTACATTTGTTATTGTGTTCGCTTTCCTCGTTTCCTTTGCCCTTGAGACGCGCTCCGCGTAACCATTGCGCTGCCAACTTTCCTCCAAACGGGACAGGCGCAATGGATACAGGTGCAGCGTCTCTATTGGTCCCTAAGAGGGGGATCAGGGGGCCTCCGGGGGCCCCACGATGCAAGAAAGGGAGCGTGGCACTGCTTCCCTCTGAGGACATGGAGGTCATGCCTCTGGAGGATTCCTTTAACATTGCCTGAGGGGCTGGAAAGCAGCACATGTTGAACCTCCTGTGGACAGATTTAGGGGAGTCATATTAAAACAGCTTATTTGTAGTCTATAAAAGAAATAATGACCTGAAATATACTTTGATATACTAAACTTCATCTGGATTTTGACTAAATAAAGATTCACTTAAAATCATAACCTGACTTCATAACAATCATCAGTGTAAATAATGTAAATATATATTTTAGTCAGAGACAGTTCAATATTTTTTGGGGGGGCTCTAAGCACAGCACTGATAACTGTTTTACTGAGTATTTACCACTCCTAGCTTTGTGGTTTAATAGATATAAACATCATTTGATCACTTTACCAATACATGAAAATAATAAATAAAACAGGTTGATTTCTCTGACTTAAAATTCTGGCACTTGAAAAAAAAGAGGATTTTTTTTATTGAATATCTTAAATCTGATTTTTCTATAACCTCTGGATTTAAAAACAGGAAGTGCCTGTCTCAAGAACATTGTGTAAATAGGGGTCAGATGTAGGCCAGTAATAACCCTTGGGGAGACACTGTAGGCAAAGCCCTAACAAAACACTTTTAACAGGGTGCAACTGTATTGGAGAAATTTTTGCATACGTTCTTTAAAGGAGAACACCGTGTTGTTTACATTGGCCCGTTGATTTTACGTTATTACATCATGTTCTACTCACCCATATTAGTTTTGTGTCATTTGGAGCTGTTCTGAAGATATTCGTTTTTTTTGTATCCAAGTAACGTCTTCCTGTGGGCAACGACTTGAAGGCACAAGCTAAACTGTTCATAATTTATTCTTTATGGTACGCCAGCATTCATAACATGTAGGCGAATCACTGTCCCCCAGACATCCGTGGTTATATTTTTCATATTTTGATTTTTTTAAATGAAAGCGGAGTGCGTATGACGTCATCTGCGTGCGCCGGACTGGAGTTGTGACAGGCAGCCCGGGCCACAGGCGGCTACGCTCTACCCCTTCTATTCATTGGGCTACCTAATCTGAATCATTCAATTCCAGTTCAAGAGCGAGATCATCTGTGGTAGTAGCACTAGACATCTTCCAGGCATTCGGATTCATGTTATGAATGCTGGTGGACCATAAAGAATAAATTATGAACAGTTTAGTTTGTGCCTTCAACTAGTTGCCCATAGGAAGAAGTTACTTGGATATAACTTAACAGAAATCTTCAGAACAGCTCCAAATGACACAAAACTTATATGGTTGAGTAGAACATGATGTAATAACGTAAAATCAAGGAGCCAATGTAAAAAAAAAAACTGTGTTCCCCTTTAATATTGTTGATCAATAAAAATGGTTATGCAAAACGTTCAGTTTTTACTTAAAAAAAAGAGTCTTAAATTCAGGCTTTCTTGCACAAATATGCCAAAACCCAGCAGATTTTTCTAAGAAAGAACGTACGGTAGGTCCTCAGCAATTAAATCCTTACATCCATTCCATCTACCTAGCTCTGCTGGAGGTTTCTTCCTGTCAAAAGCGAGTTTTCCAACCCACTGTCGCTTCAAGCATGCTGGGTGTGAGGGATTGCCTTCGAGACAATGAGTCGACACAATTAACTGGTTTTCCTTGGATAGAAAACTATGAATCAGTTTGACTGGATGATCTGGTGAACTGTAAAGTGCCTTGAGATGACATGTGTTGTGAATTGGCGCTATTTAAATAAACCGAACTGAATCCATTAATATACATTCAATATTGGGTCACATGAATATCTGACCCTGCTAAAATGATTGAGAAATCCATGAGCAGGATATACAAACGTGAAGATATTTAAAAAGAATCAGAATATTAGTAGTGAACACAAAAAGTTAGATGTTTAGCCTAATAAATATGCATACAAGACTGTCAGAAGGTTTGTACCAGGAAATTCAAAAGAAGGGGCCGAGGCCCCCCTGATCCCCATCCTTAGTGGAGCCAATGTTTAATAAGTAGATTAACTAAGTAATGTAATTACAAACTAAAATGTTAATTTTATAGATTGCATTCAAACATAACAGGGATGAACAAACGTGTCTCTTGTGTCCAACTCATTTTTTTGCAATGGTAAAACCAACCCAACAAAAACGTGAATATGATATCTAAGATGTAAATTAACTTGCAAAAAAAGTAAAAAAAAAAAAAATGTAGTTCAAGAACAAATTCCCTTTTGTATGCACTAAACAGATTGTGTCTACCCTGTTAGAAACAGCACCTCTTTCTTTAATCTTGAAAGATTCTTGCCAATCCTATTCACTTAAACACAGTCTTATTGTTCAGAAAATATTGAGTTAGCATGTTAACTCTGATGGCCAATTTGCTATTAATAAAAAGGAACAGATTTTTAAAAATTCTATTTAATTTACTATTGTCTGCCAAACAAAGGAGGTCGGACATGTTGGGGTATTAATCTGGAGTTTGAGTGACAGCTCTCTCTGCATCTCATTAAACTAAACATAAAAGTCAATTAAAACTGTATTCATAGCTGCAGCAGCTCCTTTCCCATGAGCTTTTTCTTTCAGCCTTATATCAGTGTGTGTGTGTGTGTGTTTGTAGGCAAGCTGACACCACAATCTCAGTCATTACGGCGTGTTTGGGTTATGCTGGCGCACTCACACGCCACATGAGGGTGTCTGCAAGAGATGCAGGGACGCACTGTTATCTCCCGCTGATGTCTAAGGGCGGGGGCCTCTGGTGAGAAAAAGGACAAGGGAAAACGGCCGTTTCTTAGAGCTCAAAACTGGTGCATCAGCTTATTAAGAGGGGAAACCCTGCTTGTGCTGTACTGAATCGACCATAGTCTGTGGTTAGCGACTAGATTGCAGTGCTGACGTTATGGAAAATAGTTTGGATTTCTGAGGTGGAGTGTATTAATAATTATCTCATAACTAGTGTGCCGTTTCTCATTAAAAGGCTAATGTTTAAAGCGTCTTGTTATCTCTGCCAAGCAGAGGAAATGAACTTCACAGTGGAGGATATCAGTAGAAAGATAATCAGGAAAATAAAAGGTTTTTTTTTTTTTTACTGGAGTAGCGCCTTTTTCTAAGAAAGCAGACAAAGAAGAAGAAAAAATATACTGAGGAAACAAAAGTTGATATTTTAATGTTTTCTCACAGCATCCATCCATCCATCCAAATACAGATAAATGGAAAACAATCTCTAAATCCAACATAAAACCAGAGAAGCATTATAGTACATTTTGGCTCTGAATGTTTGGTTTACAATCACTTGTTTGGTGCTTATTTTAATAAAATCAATACTCTTACAGAGTCATTATAATTAAAAGGAATTAACCAAAAGAAAAAACACCAAATATTGGTCATTGATCATCGCCGTCGTTTAAAACGCAAACGGCAATGATTTCTGCAGAGGGTCCAGATATAAAACAGATGAGAACTCAGGTTAGGAGGAACCAGAAATATGTTCGCCTCTGATGCGCTGTGGAAACCTGCGCAACAAACATCAAACAAACTGAGGCAGAAACATCCCTCTGATTCTGATCCGTCCACAGACTTAAGGCTGGATAAAAACAAAACAAATATTCCTATTTTATGGTGCAAACAGTGGAGTCTGTGAGCAAACCGCAGACAAGCATCAATTCAAATTATTCCTAAACCATAAATCATTCAGCAGATATCCCAGGGATGTCCGGTGCTTTGAAAAACTCTCATAAAAACCATTGACCCGCTTGCATTTTGTCACATTACAACCACAGACTTTACTGGACTTCATAGAGGTCTGATGATTAAAAACTGTTTTCATGAATAGAAATCCAAAAATGTGGGAGCAATTCTTGCTCAATACTCATTTACCTTTTCTTTCAAATAAAAATCTCCATCAATCGACTGCCTGCAAAAGCCTTTTCATCAATAAATACAGTAGAAGGCATCAGAAGAAGCGAAGCAGCATCACGAAGACCAAAGATCCCAGCAGGCAGGTCAGAATCTGTTCAGTCCATTCTGAGAAAATGGAAGGAATATGGCACAGCCTGCCAGGACATTGCTATCCACCTAATCTGCCAGGCAACTAAACAAGCAGATAACAGCATAAAGGCTAAGAACCACAAAACATAAGAAAGCTAAAAGACATCCTGCTAAAGTTTGCTACAAGCTGTATTGAGGATCCAGCAAACATCTGGTAGAAAGTGGTCTGATTAAATAAAAACAAAATTTAACTTTCCAGCCTAAAGGTTCCCTTTCAGCAAACTGAAACATACCGCCAGAGGTACACTGGAGTGCCTAGGATCAAAAGGATGAGTTCATATATCACAATGGTCCAGTCAAAGTCCAGACCTAAAGAGAAATACTGAATTAATCTCCTCATGTGCAAATATGGCACAGAAACACTTCAAAAGACAAATTATTATATTTATATTAGATTATATTTCCTTCTACAAAGTTCCGTCATTGGAGCTGAACCTCCAACTGTTTCCCCTGCTTCACATTTCTGCACTGCTTTGTTTTGATGAAACATTGCTGGAAATCTCAGTAAAACCCACTGAACGTTGTGGTTGTAATGTGTCAAAATGGAAAATGCTGAATGGGGTATGAGTAGATTTGCAAGGCACTGAATACCTGAGCGTGATGTAGCAGCAACACGTGGCCAAAGGAAAGTATCCCGCATCCCCATCATCATCCGCTAAATCAGGATCTGGTCTGATTTGCAAATCGGACACAGAAAGCTGGAAAAGGAAACCCTCTTACAGCCCTAAAAGGAGGTCCATCCACATCCTGAGACGGCAGGAGGAGACCTCCCTACTTTTCCTGTCCTCCCTTATTCATTTTCAATTTCTCCTGAAACTCGGCGTGTTTCTGCCGCAGGATTTCTGTCTGCTTCTTGAAACCGTTGACCCTGCAGAAGACCAGACGGCAGATTTAGCTTCCACTGTTGGACACTCATCAATCTGTGGGTGGGGGTGGGGGGCTCACTCACCTGGC